TCTCTCTCTCTCTCTCTCTCTCTCTCTCTCTCTCTCTCTCTCTCTCTCTCTCTCTCTCTTCCTACGTCGCCGTATTCGTCCCTCTTTCTTTTTCTCTCTCGCTCGCTCTTTCTCTTGATCGGCACTGCGGGACACCTCAGCGACGTTGGTACATGGCGAAACGGGCGAAGGAAGAACAATTCCTCCAAGGACACGCAGAAGGAATTTGCCCTCTTATCCTGCGGATGATATTCGTCGAGAGCCTCCTTCTCTATCCTCGCGGGATTCTCTCGCGCGAATGTCCGCGGGCGCACGGGCGGATGAGATGGACGGAAGTTGACGGTAGGACCGACCGGAAATCGCGAGCGCACGACAAAAGGGATTTTCTGCTTTTTCTCTCTTTCTTCCTTTCGTTCTCTTTCCTAGAAACTCGTCGCCGAGGAGGCCGCGACCACGCCGTGGCCCAACAACACCGTACCGGCGTTCGGTAGCGTCTGAGAGGCCGAGCGCACCGACAAGATAAAACTTTTTCAAAAGCCCCCGTGGTTTTCCCTCTCCTCACACGCCGCGGGTCCGGCTCTTCCTCTCTCACCACTCGCTTTCCTCGTCCCGCGTTCGCGGCCCGACTTCCTCTTTCTCCACGTTGGATTCTCTCTCCACCAGGAGGAGAGTTCGTCTTTCCCCCTCTTCCTATTCGCTCCCTCTATCGCCGTCACTCATTCTCTCTCTCTCCCTCTCTTTGTATTTCGCCGACGCGATCTCGCGGTCTCTCCCACCGCGCGCCGCGGATCGGCACGTTCTCTCCCTCCTCCGGATTCTTTGATCCTCCGTCTCGCTCTATCAGATTCCTCTCCCGCGTCGATTATCTCTCTCCCTCTCTCCCTTTCTCTCCCTCTTTTGATCCCCACTGCCGCACACGCGGTGGACGTGCTGTCTCCCTTGGTCCAATGTCCTCCGGAATTCTCTTCTCGTTTCCACCGTGGTCAAAGTTGTTCCTTGCCGCTGTAGCCGTCGTCTGGCAGCGGGGAGACCGTTTAGGAGGCAGTCGACTCGCGGGCGAAGATCACGGTTCTACATTTTCACGCCCGCACTCTTCATGATACAGGGATGCTCGCAATATTGTCGAAGTATTGTCGATCTATCATCGATAACGAACACTTTTCATATCGTTATTTTGTTTTTAGTATGAACTATATCTAAATGTAATCGCAAAGGAATTCGTCAGGAAATCAGTTTAATCGTACAACTATTTATCGCGTAGTTTTTGAATAAAGTTAATAGTTTTTGAATAAAATAGCAGAAAGCTAAAATATGATATATAAGTAAGCGCAATTTTTGACAGAAAGAGTTATTATATCGTTTAATAATACGACTCTTTATACGTGCAGCTTAAATGTAACTCGATTGCATTTTATATCTGAATTATGTCAGTACATCGGATTTAGCCATAACCATGAAAAACTTGAAATTTTAAACGTATTCGGTATTAAAAAATGTATATAAGAAATGCTTGATATACTCCGATCAATATTCTATAATTGTATTATTAATACGGAATACTTCTAACACTATTTGCAAAACTTGCTTTTAATTTAAAAAATTGGACATCAAGTTATCTAATATAATTAATACTTAGTACAATCATACATATATAAAATCAAATATAAAATGTTCGAAGTTGTATTATAAAGTTATTTAATATTAAAAATTGGAGCATTTCAAGCCGTACCAGATTTCTGGAATATAGCGGTAATGATGCCTTGACCTTTTTGCTAATTTTTAGTGAATTTTAAAATTTACTGTTGTAATTAAATTGCCAAACACGTTTAATTTTCTAAATTTAATTACTACAGAAGTGAAAAAGAAAAAGAATGCTTTGTTAACTCAATTTTTGAACAGATTGTTTCAAAATTCCATATAAGAAATCTTATAAGTCATATTATTGATTTTATGATGATTTTATATATAGTAAATCCTGTATAAAATATGTGGATATTATGTCAAATTATATATGTTTTGCAATGTAATCAGATACGAGAGTTTTCTACCATCAGATCCGTGTTTTAATTATGGCAATATCACTGAAAAAAATGACGTTCTATCATGAATTCGTAGCTTAGAAATGTTCCTTTCTTTGTCGCATTTATTGTCTTAGAAGTGTTCAGCAACGAATCTGAAAGAGATGAATTTTTTTTAAACGGGTCAAGCATCACCAAGCAGTCGTTTCAAAGTCGTTATTCGCACTCCGTTCCATTCTGCGTTACACTCGTTTTGCGGCTATCCAATAAACGAGATGCATCTGTTAGCATATAAGCGAAATCTCATGATATTCTCGATATAGATTGTAGGCCGAATATGCGCGCGGTGCCTCCTCGTAAATCGATGATGCTTGACAATCGATGCCATAATCATCATGAAATGGTTACACAAACACAAAAATAAACAGACTATTCTTATACATTTTGATGCTCTAAAATTAAATCCGATATCCAAATTATTCCATTTTATCACGTCACAACTTTTAATCAACAAGAAATAACTCTATTTTCCAGTATTTTTAGAGTCATTTATAGCATAGCTATTTAGATGTATGCTGAAGTAAAGAAGAAAATTAATTCAATGATAATATGCAAGCTGGTAGATTAAAGGATATTGAAAATCGAGATATTTTCGATAAAAAACATTGTGACTAATGAGCAATTTAAATATCAAATTCGGTTTCAGAGTCAAAATATATAAAAATATTTAATGGCCTAATCTTCGGATAAAAAAAATTTGTTTATATGCTAATATTATTTTAACAAATAGTGCGATATATAATTCACAACGAAAATAAAAAGAAAAATTGAGGCAATCAAAGTTTAAAGTTAACCATAAAAGAAATATTTTAAAATATAGCGCTATTTTAAAATATAGCGTATGTATATTTAAAGTTAATTCAAAAAAATATAAAAAATTCGCAGATAAAAAATGAATTGTAGAATTTAAAAAAAAAAGTTTACAACTTAATTGTGTATTATAACGTAATTGTGTACTATGATTGTAAATCATACAGTACAATAAAAGTTTAATGTTGTGGAATACAATTTCATACATACTTATAACTATAATTTATTACTAAAACTTTCATGTATTATGGAAGAATATGTATATATTTTCATGTTATAAACATATAAAATTTCCTATATTCTTGTAATTTTATGATTGTATTATCCTTTTTTATCGTTTTCCATTATTATTTGATCATAATATTTATTTGATTCATTATTTATTATTCTCTCATCATTTAATATCTCCTAATCCAGTAGGAGACGTAAATTAATGTTAATAATTATAAGTTATTATATTATAATTAATAATTATATGCTTTATATAAAATATTTTCTGTGTGTTATGTAAAAAAAATATCTTGGTACTGTTAAATTGCATTAAAATTAAAGGAATGTTAACTGCGATCAAACAACAAATCTTCGAACTCTTGCTGACAAGGATTAATCTTGCCGATCGTGAGATTAAGCTACACGGACGGCATGTGAATCGGCGTGTAAACAGGCACGTGGAAGAGAATCGCGAAAGGGTGCGACATGAACACTGAGGCTATCATCGTAAGGTTATCGATATAATACCAAAATAAATCTCAAGAGAAACGCAACAAACCCCGTTAACCCATTGATTTATGATGCGACGTATGGTTCACGATTGCACGTGCCTCTCACAAAATACCGAACACGAGCGTCCCTTTTTTCACAATCTATGATTTTCGTTTCCCGCTCATTTATCGAATATGACATAATCAAAAATCATTATCGTTTTAAGTTTTTATATAATGGAGTATGACGGGAATATTATGATAGTAGCGATAACAAACATATGCATGATCTTTAAAATAATGTATATTTATCATTATGCATAATTCATTATTTAAATGCAACCTTTATTCAACGACATATCAAACTCTTTTCTCATAAACATATTTCTTGTTAAAAAGTGACATTATTTTTTCTTTTCAAAAATTTTTCGAAAGATTATCTTCATAATTTCTTAAATTTTTATCCTAATTTTCTTGAAAATTGATGAAATTCTATTAGATTTCAATAAACAAAAAAACGAGATTTTATTATTCATTTATATTTCTGAAGAATAGTTCATCGAAATTTAATTATCTATTTTACTAAATCTACATTTTAGATGATTTTAATTTGTAACAAAATTTTTTGTGTCAATCTTATGCTTCAAAATAAAATATTTAAAAAGTCATAACACATTGACACATGTCTATGTAAACAAATTATATACACAAATTACAAAGAATTAATAAAATTATAAAGAACGTTTAATCTTGACATCTAATAGAAATTATATAGATTGTTTATAAATAAATTATTGATATAACAAAAATTATTGTGAGCAATATATCACGTACACTAAAAAAAATGATATTATGTCAACAGCATTATTTTAATTAAAAATAACTTTGTCAATTTAAACAAACATATACGCACATGCACACACACACACACACACACACACACACACACACACACATCCTATGTAGCACAACAGTGCAAAGCGCTTTGGGACCGCGTTCTTGTGACTGTACCTCTCAAAACTGCTGTCAGTTATGCACTTTCATGTGAATAACGGCAGATTTCAAGTTACACTGATCAAAAAATTATGATTATGCGCATAAAAAGCATTTATCCTGCGCTGATTGAATGCGCGTTTACATCACTTTCTGAACGCTTTGCAGACACTGTTGTGCTACGTGAAAAATGCTGCAAACGTGCTATAAAACTGGATTTATTCTACGCTTATTGTATACGTTTATAATGCGCTTTTCATTGTGGATTTTGAAAGCGCTTTTAAAGCGCTAAAAACTGTTAGAATTATGTACCTACGCATAAGCGCTTTTTTAGCGCTTTATAATCACTGCTGTTCTACGTATATGGAACACAAATACACAAATAAATAATATTATATTAATAAAACGAATACGCCATGCTCTTGTTCTGATAAAATTTTATTTGTTTCATTAATACTATTATTAAATTAACAAAATATTTTCAATTAAAATAATGCTGTTATATATAACATTATTTTTCTTCATATATATATATATATACACAAATACATTTCATTCATATATAAATAAACGGATTAAGGCTACTTCAATAAAATACGTGGTCATTCAAGCGAGCAGTCGAATAAATTTAAATGTATCGAGTGTAA